AATTAGATTTTAATGTATATTAAAATAGAAAAACGTTATTTTACATCGTAATAATATTTCACAATATTACATTTTTCCCTGTATTTTTGATCAAATAAATGCAGCCTTGATGAGCAGAAGATACTCCTGTAAAAACATTAAAAATCATTCTGATCCCAAACTTTTGACCGGTAGTGTGTACATATATATATCATGAATTTTTCTGCATAGCAAGTGTTTGGAACAAAAGTTTATGAGTGTATTCACATGATTTTAAGTTTAAAATCATACAGATAATAACTCACCTTCATGTTGTTCCAGAGATCAGAGAAATGCGCTCGGCTGCAGAGAGCCAGCTGCAGTGTGGCGTTCCCAATAAACAGGATGATCACTATTCACGCTGGAAACGTTCAGCAGGCTGGGAAGAGAGCTTAACAATACAACATACAACTACTGAACAATGCTTTATGAAACTGCAACACATTACGAACCACGTACCAAAACCAAGTCAAATCAAACTTATATTGTACAATGTGAAACAATTCACATTGTTTCAAAGCCAAGTCATGATGCTTGTCACAGATGCAAAAACAAAATCACATGATGCAAAAATCACAGCCAATCAGAAGAAAGTGAGGGCGGAGCCTCTCCATGCAAGCGCACTGCACTCGCATAGTACGTAATCTAAATTAAACCATTTTAGCATTATTATAAATGCATATTGAGAGACTGAAACAGTCTTGGTTATGGAATACACTTGTTTGTTCACGCCAAGTTGTAGCATTCATGCATGCTTTGATTTATGATTTGTGAAGATCTGAGGTAAATGACCCGTTGTCGTTTTCAGTAGCTATGGCTAGTAAAGATCATGCAAACTCGCATGATGTTGGTCAAGCCGCTACGCTGCAGAAACAGAAACTGCTTCTGAAATAGAACCCGATGTCGTTTCTCGCTTATCTGAAGAGTCAAATGTCAGCCAATCAGAAGAAAGCGTGGGCGGAGGCTCTCTATGCAAGCGCACTTGCGCACGTATTGAAACGTAGGCTACGTGATGTGATGAACATACCATTTTAACACTATCAAAAACACATACCGAGCGACATTTTTAACCATAAATAAAGAACATAATCAGTACCTGAGATCATTATTTGTCATAGTTTGTGACAAATATAAACCAATCAGAAGAGCATATGGGCGGAGCCTCTCTGCAAGCTCACTGCACTTGCAACAAAATGCAAAAGTACATAACATTTTAAAATAAAAGCATTTTAATATTGTTAAAATTAGTGCTGGGCAACGATTATTTGCGATCAGTCACATCCAAAATAAAAGTCTTCACCATGGAATGCACTTGTTTCTTCACACTGAGTTCATAGTTTTAACGTTTATATTTCCTTTCATTTATTTTCAGTATGAGGTCAATTATCCATTGTCCCTTTCAGTATGGCTATAACGATCACGTAAAATGGCATCCAAACTAACAGTATGTGTAAACATACCTGGCAATAAAGCTCATTCTGATTCTGATTCTGAAAACTCATTCTGATTCTGATGAGTAGCCTATGTATGCTGTATGTATGGATGTACTAAACCATCCACACACATGATCAACAAAGATTTAAAAGACAGCTCAAACACACTGAGCAAGAGTCAAATTAGTTTTATAGCGTTAGAATTCTCGAACATAAATTAAATACTTCAAAAACAGAAATTACTTTAATCATGTAACGCGTACAGACTCGATTTCAATCGTGTAACGTTACCGTTTTTCAACTCTTGTTAATAGTTTCGCGGTTATGACTCTCGCCACAACATTAAAAACAATCATATTTACCCGATTTGTGAATCTCATTTTCCAGTCTGAATTGATCTGTGGTCATGTGATCTGCAAGTGAGCGAAAACAAACTCGACGATCAACGCCAACGTCCGATTCACGAACAACCGACTCATTTGAGAAGCTTCTCCTTACGATTCATTTTCACTCACATCCTAGTTTGAATCAGTTTAACGAATCCTTGAATGAATTCTTCGGTGGTTACCGAGTCGATGTCTGATGTGACTCACTTTCTGAACGATTAGTTGTCGCTCCGTTTCGAAATTACACGATTTTCTGCTCGTGAATCGACCACACAGTGGATCACCTCGAGAAATGCGGATGAATATCTGAATTAACCGTGCGTTTGTCTCGATTATTGCGCCGAAGAATAATTAGTAACCTCAAAAAAGATTAGTATATGCTACGAAAGTCTGTTTAAAACGTGAAACTAGTCAGCCTTTGATGGAGATGCTTCAGAGTCCTAAAAAAAAGCTCATCGTGTTCAAATTACACTGGGAAAACAATGACGAACATTAATAGATCAGGCAACCAACTTGACTTAATTTACACACGCAATTGTATTGCAGACAACATTCTGGTAAAACCCCTACATATCTCTGATCATTTCTTCATTACATTTCAACTACATTTTGCTACCTGTGTGCCACCAACCCCTATACCGGTTACTTTTAGACGAAACCTACGCTCCCTTTCCCCCTCCCATCTTTCCTCTGTATTATCATTCTCTCTTCCCTCACCTACCCATTTCTCATCTCTGGATGTGAATGCAGCAACTGACACTTTATGCTCTACTTTAACCTCTTGTCTAGATGATATTTGTCCTCTCTCCTCCAGGCCAGCACTTTCATCTTTCTCTGCTGAAGTCCATACTGCCAAATCTTCATAGTTCCACAACAAGATCAACAGCGCTCCAGACACACGTAATCTCTTCAAAACTTTCCATTCTCTCCTCTGTCCCCCTCCACCACCCCCTACCACTTCTATAACAGCTGATGATTTTGCCACATTCTTCACAGACAAAACCAGAACAATCAGTAGCCAATTCTCAGCCCCAAACACACAGGACTTCAAACCAAAAACTCCCATCTTCTCCGTTTGTCCCCTCACTGAGGCAGAAGTATCAAATCTTCTGCTCTCCAGC